TGTGAAAAACACCCCATTTTCAGGGAGCTTTGCAAAATACTCCTGCTCCACTAAGCCCACGGCCGGCTTCCCCAGGGACATGAGGTCATGGTGGGTGAAGGCGAGGGAGATGCACACCAGCTTCCCAGGGCAGAAGGAGGGAGAGCATCCCCACTTCCCGGGAGCACCTGGGAGACATCTGCCTCACCACAGCCCTGAGACCCTCAGGAGCTGCTCCAGGGCTGAACACAGATATGTTTAGGTGTTCCTTGAGGTTCCTCAGGGGATCCCGGGAGAGCTGAGCACCATTTTCCCTCGCTCTGGGATGGGGGCAAGGACTTACTGCGTGAGTGGCACAGTTTGCTGCATGCTCATACTCGGTCGGCTGGTACCTGCAGTTGGACGGGACACGATGATTCATGAACCTGCAGCAAGAAGGAGGGAGAGAAACATGATCAGGGGACGGGGTTTGGGGAAAAGCCTTTTCGGAGGGGTGGGCACAAGGACACCCACCAGCCCCCTAGCCTGGAGCCCCACCTCGGCTCGGCTTTGCTCCAGCTGCCCTGCAGAAGTGACCCCAGCACTGGGCACAGTTTGTCCATCTGGCTGGCCCCAAATGCCAGGACCCCAGGTCTTGGTCAGCCATGGCTCAGGCTGAAGCATTTCCCAGTAGCTGCCGTCACTTGGAGAGCAGAGGGCAGGAGCCAGCTCTGCCTGCTGCTGCGGGCAGGAGAGGGCAGACAGGGCAGCAGTGGGAAGGATGTAGGGGAAGCTGCTGCAAGGATGGGTCAATAAGTTCTAGAGCAACTCCAGACCTGTCCCGAGATGGGGCACAGGTGACCATCAGTGGTGTGTCCAGCTGCCAGCTCCTGTGACGCTGGCACCTTTCACCATCTTCATTTCACAGGCGGAAAAACTGAGACACCATGTAACGACACGATCTGGTTACAGCCCATCTGCCCCAGAGAAAATGGACCAGCACAGCCCTGGCAGCAAAGAAGAGGGCCCGTGGCTGCGGGTCCATGACCCTTCTGGCAGTGACACCCTCATGTCACAGCAGCGTGCCGGACTCCAATGAGGGTATACCCATGATGACTTCGGTTTCTGGGTACCACCTGCATCTACCCATGGGGGCCGCATGTCCCAGCACAGATTGCTGGAGGGGGAAGCCCTCCATGCTCCCTTGGAAAGCTGTATCTTTATTTCTGTTTCTTTTAGTCTGAGGTATCAGCTTGCTCTTGGCATTTGGAGGAACATATCGATTTCTCCTGTTGGATCAACAGACAGAGAGAAAAAATAGTGTTGGGCTTGGCTAGTCCATTGCTAGGTACATAATGCTGTATTAAGAGGCAAATTAAATGTGCATCCATGATAACAGGTCAGAGCAAAGCGCTGCCTTGCTCAGCATCCTCTTCTGGCAGGGGCCAGCAGTGGAGGCTTAGAGAAAGGGAATAAGAAACGGGCAAACAGAGAGTGATCCTTCCCTGGCTGCTCCTGGTAATCAGGGGTTTAAAGACCTTTTCTTCTGTGGCTCAGGTCAGGATGGCTGAGCTGAGCAGGCGCCGGAGGGGCTGCCCTGCAGGACCTGGGCTAATTGTTTTCTGACCCCGTTTGCTCTCAGCTCTGGCACCATCTGTGGTGCATTTCACAGCTGAGCTGCGCCCAGTGAGGGGGCTCAGGGGCTGGCAGGACCTTGCCGCTGGGCACAGGGTGACCCCTTGGTCTGGGGCACTGGGAAAGGCAGTAAAAGTCCCCTCTCCCCGTCCCCGAGCCACCCATGCTCATGTGGACTCCTCTGCCACCTCCTGCCTGCTCAGACCCACCACCTGAGTCACTCACTGCTGTCTATTAAAAGTGAGCCAGGATGGATTAAATAGCTCCAATAACAAGGGCTTGAGTGTGGGGGGAGTGTGGCCACAGCAGGCTGGGGCGTGCGAGGCACTCCCCGGCAGGCGGCAGTGACAGCCTGCGCAGGGACCCTGTCCCCAGCCCCTGCCCTGCCTGCAGCCAGACCCCGGCGGTGCAGAAAGAAACGTGGTCATCGTCACCAAAAAGGGTCTTGAATTAAGAGGGGGAAACAGAGGGGATTAAGCTCCCACCGCTCTGCAAATCGAGGACTGTGCTCGGTAAATCGGGGCTTAGCAAGGCTGCCATGGCCGGGAAGCAGGCAGGCATCCCTAGGGACGTGGCCATGCCAGGTGTGCAGTCGTCTCCATCCCAGGGGACACCAGGGATGCCCTCTCCGTCCCGCCACTCGGGCCACGGGGGCTGGCTGGGCTCTCTGCGCTGGAGCCATGTCCCCCTGGCAGGAGGACATTACTGTCCCCAGCGTTGCCAGGAGACTGTCCTCAGCTCCCCTTCGCTTTTTGCTTCCCTTTCTTTTCCCTTTAAATAATAAGAAGAGGAGGGGGAAGCCCAAACATACCGCGTGACGTCGCAGTTGCTGAGGAAACGTACAAGGCCTTTTCCTTGAATTTATTTGTTTTAACAAAGCCCTGTGCCGTCTCCCCTCTGTTCTGGCGGTTGCTGTTCAGAGCAGTAACGGGGAGCAGCAGTGGGGCTGGTTTCCACAGCCCCCACCCGGGGCTGAGGGGCACCCGGACTGTTTGGGAAGGGATCCCTGGGGTGCAAATATCCTCCCTAGCTCTGGTGCAGGGATGGAGAGGCCAGGAAGGGCCACCCCTGCCATCCCCATGGGATGAGGCCAAACAGTCTGTGCATCCCTGAAGCCCAAAGCTGTGCTGGTGCAGCACACTGCAAACGCCTGCTTTTCCCAGAGGGAGAAATAGCCTTGAGGATGATCTTTTTTTTGACCTGGGAAGAGAACATTCTTGTTTTCCTGTCCCACTTTGTAATAAGCATTATCCTGTGAAGGATGGGAAACAGAGCGTTGCACATGTGGGACCTGGCTGCAAAGTGCTGGGCCAGCCTGGGTACAGCCGGGCCCTCCTGGAGCAGCCAGCGTTGCATTTGGGGGCTAGTTGGGCACATCTTTATTGCCCTCTGTGCTCAGGAGCAGAGCTGTGCAAACAAGCACGGGGGCAGCTGATGTTTGCACATCTCCTGGCAGGGCAGGATGAGTCCCTGGCTGCCCTTCAGCACCTTGCTCCCCAGGGGTGTGGAGGCCATTTCCTTGCCTTCTCTTCTCTCCTGGGACTTTATCTACCTCCCAGACTATCCCGGGATGCCAAGAGTCCATCCAGCTCATGTCATCCCTGTGCATGCTGCCATGGGTGCGGGGCAGGGCACAGGGAGCCCTGCATCACTCCCAGCCTGCAAAAAGTTGCTGTACTGGTGTGCAAAACCAGCCTCAAAGCTGAGCTCCAGCCTGGACAGACAGACAGACACAGTCAGGGAGGGCACCTGCGACTCTCATTAGAGCTGATGAAAGCCAAGCCCCAGCTCTGTGTGACTGAGGTCAGGAGAAGGGGAATTGCTGGCAGCTAGGCAGAGCTCCGGGGTTTTTCAGTGCAAGAAAATAAGTAGAAGGGGAATACCGCCCCAAACTTAGATCTGGTCCTTGCAGCAAGTCTCCTGCCCAGCTGGCTGAATCCACGATCATCACCAGCTCTGTGTCATTGCACCCGTACACTTGGGGACACACGCTGGCAGTGTCCCTGGGGGGGGGGGGAATTGCTGGCAGCTAGGCAGAGCTCCGGGGTTTTTCAGTGCAAGAAAATAAGTAGAAGGGGAATACCGCCCCAAACTTAGATCTGGTCCTTGCAGCAAGTCTCCTGCCCAGCTGGCTGAATCCACGATCATCACCAGCTCTGTGTCATTGCACCCGTACACTTGGGGACACACGCTGGCAGTGTCCCTGGGGGGGGGGGACACAACAGCGGCGTTGTCCCATCAAGACCCAATCTACACATCCAACCCGCCCGGG